AGAGGCTCGGGGACGCCACCTGCGGCTCCCTCCTGCTCGGAGTGGCAGAAGAAGGGAGAGAGGAAGAGGAGGAAGATGGAAGATGGGTGAGCCCCATGGTCATCGCTCCTCGTCATCGTCGTCATCATGGGCCGCCACGTCGTGGCGGGCGCCAGTGCGGCGCGGGCCGCGTTGAGCGCGGGAGCGAGTGCGGGGACCCGAAGCACCGTGGGTGCTTGGGCTCGGCAATGAGGCAGCTGCTGGAGCCTGCCCGTCTCCTTGGTGGTCAGCACCACCCTCGGCGATGATGCCAGCGTCGATGCCAGCGGCGATGAGCTTGGCCTCGACGGTGATGAAGAAGAGGTTGGCATCCTGCTCAGCGCCAGCGAAGACCTTGATGCCGTCTGCGCTAATTGAGCTGGGTCTCATAATCTGTTGTAAGTTCATGGTGGTGGTGCTGTTGTTGGAGACTTGTGTGTGTGTGTGTGTGTGTGTGTGCTGTGTGTGCTGTGTGTGCTGTCAACAGTAGGATCTTGTATGAGTTTCCGGCGCATATAGCGGTGTGAGACACTGGGTTGGAGTAAGCACGTAGGATCTTGTATGAGTTTCTGGCGCATATAGCGGTGTAAGACACTGGGTTGGAGTAAGCACGTAGGATGTAGGATGAATGAACACTCCAACAGAAAGAAACAGAGCAGAAGACAAGAATTGTCGACAACGCAAAGTGGTGACGTGGCAGTGTTTGTTGAGAGTTGTGTGGTTATGTGGTGTGTTATGCAAGAGCATGTAACATCGAGCAACCACACAAGCTAAACACTGCACGTGCAACAGGTTGGAGAGAAATCACGTGAACATTCCAGAACACAAGAGAGGTGAATGCAAATTTGTGGTGTCGTGAAGAAGGGAGGTCAATGATGACTCAGCAGACAGGACTTGCCTGTCAACACTCCCCCGCATTGACCTACCTCTCTGCTGCGTTGATGTTCTGAAACGTGATGAGCATGTGGATGATGTCATGCATGTAGGAATGGCATGGGCAGATGTAGGTGAGATGTGAGTAAGGACGTGTGTTGTGGAACACGTTTAAGAAAATGGTTGGTGCCTGTGGTGCGCAGCCTGTTGTGGAAGGCTGGCCCGAGTGAAGGCGTGTCCTGTGGTGCGCGGCCGCTCAGAGGTCCTGACGCGGAGTCGAAGGACGTGGCGACCGGCCCGAATGAGGACGGGCCCGTGGCTGGCAGCCTGGCAGAGGACGCTGGTCGAACAGCATCGTGCAGAACTGAGCCGTCTTGGGCCGAGGGAGGATCTTCGTGAGGAGATCTGCGATCATGTGCTCCGTGGCGAGGTAGCTCAGCACAATCCTCTTGGTGTCGACGCACTCGCGGATGTAGTGGTACTTGACGAGGATGTGCCGCATGCGCGAGGCGGCGTGTTCGGCAACGCGCTGCGCCGGCTGGTTGTCCGTGTGGACGAGCGTGGGCTCGCACAGGACGGCGCCGGTGAGCTCCTCCTGGAGTTGGCGAAGGAACATGAGTTCCTGTGCGGTGGCTGCGAGAGCCATGTACTCCGCGTCGGCGGAGGCTGTGGCCACGGTGGCCTGCAGCTTGGAGTTCCAGGACACGGGGCCCGTGGAACAGAAGACGACGAAGCCCGTGCGGGAACGTCGCGTGTCAACGTTGGAGGCGAAGGACGCATCCGAGTACGCTGAGAGCACGCCGTCGGCAGTGCATGCCGTTGCTGGTGTCGCCAGTGGCGGCGTACTTGATGGTGTAGG